ACCCACAGCAACCATGACTTTGATCAGCGTCTTCATCTGCACACTGGCCCTCTGGACTCAAGGTGAGAGATTAACATCAACTCACAGCCTCACACACTTCATTTCATACTAATTCTACACCACTTTAGAGCATGTAAACACAATCTATGTTTCTCTTCAGGATCCAGAGGTCAGGTGACTGTGACTCAGACTCCTTCAGAGCACACTGTTGTTCCAGGAAACACAGTCACCATCAACTGTAGAATCAGTCTCAGAGTGTACAGTGGTACTTATCTACACTGGTATCTGCAGAAACCTGGCGAAACTCCTAAAATTCTGATCAACCATGTTAATAGATTATACTCAGGTACTCCAGCTCGTTTCAGTGGCAGTGGATCTGATACTGACTTCACTCTGACCATCAGTGGAGTCCAGCCTGAAGATGCAGGAGATTACTACTGCCTTAGTGACCTTCAGATCAGTGGTGTCTCAGTGTTCACACAGTGTTAGAGCATCGTGCAAAAACCTCAGTCAGTGAGAGTGCACAGAGAAGCACTGCTGCAGCTGGGAGCGACTGCAGGTGCTGAGGGGGAGGAAGTGACACCACAATGATCCACACTGTGGACGAGAGAAAACACACCACACTAAATCGCTAATGATCTGGAAGAGAAGACCAACTTACTAAGCTGTGGATAATTATTAGTTAATATTTTAACATATTATGTATCCCTAGAGAGGCCATGAAAAGTTTTTTCATTTGTGCACAAATTGTGCATGCAATATAGTTTAATGTGGCCACAAGAAAAAAAATAATTCCAGACAATATATTTTAACATGGCCCTGAGATCTGCAGCCAAAGAAGCCCCAGAGAGAAAAGCACACTTTCCAAAAATTAACACAGCCAAATGGACTAGCCATGTGGCAATCTTAAAACAGCATGGCTGATTGTTTCTTTGGCCCATAATTTCTGTCAACCTAAAGCAAGCCTTAAATGGAGTTCTGCTGTCAGGCCTTAACCACACAGCTGCTTTCATCACCATAATTATTTACATCTGACCAGTGGTTCCTGGTACAAACTTCAGTTCTGTTGTCGACACTCTCTTGTCAATATTGCTGCTCTGTTCCATGAAGTTTATTTCCTCTGATTGAAATAGCAGACGCCAAGGTTCAGAACAAGGTGTTCAGATTCAGGATACTTCCTTGTTCAGAAGAAAGACAGTCTGATTCTAGAGTAGAGAGGGCAGAACTGGTTCCTAAAAGCCCTAGAGTTTTGCACTGTAAGTCTATCAGATCTTATTTATTCTGTGCAGCCACCAGTGGAAGTGTGCGATGCATATTTTTATGTCCTCATTACCCCAGAGCAAAGAGGCTTTTGAGATTTGCGTTTCAAGGACAGGTATTCTGATTCAGTCCCACTTTCAAGTCCTACCCTTTGGCCTTTCTCTAGCACCATGCTTGTTCTCTATCTCTTCTCCTCCTCCCTGACTCTCTGCATCACTAGGAATGATCACAATGGAATCATCACTATTCCCTGTGGAGAAACAGCAAATGTTTTTAATGTCTGGACTCAAGCACTCATAGGTAAATTCCAGCTGCTCATGGGGGTATAGCTCAGTGGTAGAGCATTTGACTGCAGATCAAGAGGCCCCCGGTTCAAATCCGGGTGCCCCCTGTCTGACTTGCTTCCCATTAATACTTCACTGGAAAGAACCAAAATGATAATGGTGTGTCAATGTCTGTGCTTTCTCTCTGCCTCCCTCTGGTGTCCCAGTACATCATTCAGCCTACACACACTTGTAAATAAAAATATTGAAATGGCCTGCAGTAACTACTGCTGAACATTTGAACACTATCTACAATTCACAGCTGACCCATAACATGGCTCTATTCTGGGCTGGCACTATTCAGCTGCGCTTCCCCAGTCAGCAGAGTGTGAATCTGGAGGCTCTACTCACCCCTGGGCCAGTCACACTTTGAGGCACTATCCTCAAACTTCTCTTGTTATTCGTCAACATCATCCTATGGTGTCAAGGGGGAGATAGCTCATTGGCAGTGTCAAAGGGGAGGAGGAAGGGGGTGAGAAGGGCTCAGTCTGAAGCCTTCCCTACTGCAATTGATGCTATTGCTCTAGCTCAGTGGTAGAGCATTTGACTGCAGATCAAGCAGTTCCCAGTTCAAATTGGGGTGCCTCTTGTCACACCTGCTTCACCGTAGGTTCAAGTGAATTGCCCACTGCACCTTTAATATTTCAATGGAAACAACCAAAGCTATAAATAATATTGTCTATACACTCACTAAAGCATACATATATTGAGGAAGAAATGTTTTGTTCAGGTTTTACAGCCATATTTGATCAGAGAATCACAGAAGGTAGTGATATCACTATTCCCTGTGGAGAAACAGCAACATTTTATATATTAATGACCTACCTTCCTGGCCATGGGGGTATAGCTCAGTGGTAGAGCATTTGACTGCAGGTTAAGCGGTCCTTAGTTCAAATCTGGGTGCCCCCTGTCTGACCTGCCTCAGACTCCCTTTAAGTGATTTACACTCTACATTGTTAAAAGTTCAATGGCAATCACCAAAACCATAATGGTGTGTCAATGTCTCTGCTTACTCTCCACCTCCCTCTGGAGAGTAGCTCAGGCACAAGGCTGAGAAAAAAATCACCTGGTCCTTTTCCAGTCTTCAACTGTTCAGCTGCAGTCACTTGTCTCAGATCTGTCCACACACAACACACTTATTGATTGTTTTTCTTTTGCATATTGTTGCTTAATTCAGCTATCTTTGCTGTATAGTCTGCACAGCTATGTTCAGGTATTTTGTGTTCAATGTCTTTGTGTCTTGCATTCTAGTCCTTGCCCTTGGGCGGCAGACTGCAGACAAAATACAAGACTCACTAAAGCATATATATATTGAGAGAGAAATGTTTCATTCATGTTTTACAGCCATATTTGATCACAGAATTGCAGAAGGCAGTGATATCACTATTCCCTGTGGAGGAACAGCAAATGTTTTTAACGTCTGGACACAAGCTCCAATACATAAACAACCACTGTCCATGGGAGTATATCTCTGTGGTAGAGCGTTTGACTGCAGGGAAAGAGGTCCCTGGTTCAAATCCGAGTGTCCCCTGTCTGACCTGCTTTGCTGTATCCTTAAATGATTTACACTCTACACATTTAATGTTTCAACATAAACAACCAAAACTCTAAAAGGATATTGTCTATACACTCACACTGCCTGATCATGGTCTCTGTTTGGGTTTTACCACAAGACAGACAGCAGACGGTTTTACTTCCGGACACAAGCTGAGTGGTAGCTCAGTGGTTCAGATGTTGGGCTACCGAACGCCAAACGGCTACTGCTGGGCCCTTGAGCACCAGGCCTTAACCCTCACCTGCTCAGTGGTGTAACTTTAACTTTGGTTGAGAAAAATTCAAACACAAATAAAATGTCAACATTTGACCATATGAAAAGTTTTGTGATTGTCTGTGTTATGTCCTCTCTCTCTTTCTGTCTCTCAATTTCTCTCTCTCTTTCTTTTTGTCTCTTTGTCTATCTCTCTTGCACTCTCTCTCTCTCTCTCAATCTCTCTCTCTCTCTAGGTGGACTGAGTGGGGTTGAGCGAGGGCTGATGTTTGGTGGTGTTGGTTTGGCTGGTCTGGTCTTTCTCCTGGCTACAGTCGCTGCAGGCAGAGCGATCGCCCATCGAGCCTGGCAGGCAGGCAGGCAGGCAGGAAGAGACTTTTTTTTTGTTGTTGTTGGTTTGTTTTGTTTTGCTATATTACACAACAGAGAAATGTTTTGTTCATGTTTTACAGCCATATTTGATCAGAGAATCACAGAACGCAGTGATATCACTATTCCCTGTGGAGAAACAGCAAATGTTTTTAATGTCTGTCTTTAAGTGATTTACATGCTACATCTTTAATACTTCAATAGAAAGAACCAAAATTATAATGGTGTGTCAATGTCTGTGCTTACTCTCTGCCTCCCTCTGGTGTTGGCACACGCTGGTTGTCCCAGTACATCATTCAGCCTACACAC